AACAACAACAACAACAATAATGAACAGTTATATACCAGAGACATTTTATGGGAGTGGAGTGGGGAATGGGATCAAAAGCAGCGTGGGGAGGGAAATTCAGTAGACTTTGGTGATGGCACATGGGTGAGTTGGTGATGGGAAGCCCACGGGGATTACAACTGAGATGGAAAAATGCACAAAATAATGTAATAATAAACTATTATATTATTAAAAAGAAGAAAAAAAGAATGTGAGCTCCACACACAAAAAAGTTTTATTTATTTATGTATATAGAACTAGGGTACAGGCCAGAGGAGCAGTGGTTGGTGAGAGGGTTCACCAGAGACAGACTGGGGAGAAGAACAGGCAGACTGATAAAGTACACTGCTGAGGGGAGCAGTGGGTGAGACAGGAGAGGTCTGCTGTCACCTCCTTGGCCGGTGATCAAACTCATTCTTCAGTGACCGTGGCTAGCTTCACAGTGTTGTGCTTAAACCCATTGTGTCACCAGGGAGGGGCTGATAAATCTAATTTAATACTACATTGAGATACAATTTTTAATCCTTGAAATTGGCAAGAATTCTAAGAATTCACAAAGTTAAATTGTGACAAAATTTGATTCTAAGCCCCTCACAGAAATAACCATTTCATCTAAATAATAATTAAAATGCTGAATTTGAACTGTGTAACTCAAATGTTCCTGTGAACAATTTAATCTCCTAGTGTGACTCAAGGACAAGTTAAAAGAGCCAAATTATGGGATTTCATGGAATGTTTAGATTGAGTTAGAGCCAAATCACAGATTCTTGCTAGTTGGCACTGACTGCCTATGTCTTTTTTGGGATATACAATCTACTTTACCTGCTTTGTTTGTGTTGATATTTCCTATGATTACATAAAGCAATACCCAACATCTTATACTTAAACATTTGAGATACAGATCCTCTATATTGCACCTATCTGAAACTATGTCCCTGCCACACACATCTTTCCAATTCTTCCAATGTGATATAGTAAAAATAAAATTAATTTTTATGAACTTGAACTCAACTTTCTGCCAAGCTTGAACTCATAACTCTCAGCTCCTTCTCTGCTTTTGAATTTTTATAAATATTGCTGAATAGAAATGAACATTAGAATGGTGCCTACATGATAGCAGAATCCATTTTCTGAATGTTTTCCCTTTTATTTTCAGAAAATACATGGCTTCTGGTGTTATACCAGTGAGAAAAAAAAAAAAGTGGAAAGGTAAATTAGAGTGTTTATTTCTCAAGAATAATTTCCCCCACACAAATGTCTTTCATGCATATCATTAGAGACAAAACAAATAACAAGTGTTTTTTATCAAACATGTTTGTCTTTGAATATTGTATAAATTAAGAACTATTTGAATATTGCTACATTAAGTATGCAAAGTACAAAAAAAAAACACCATTAGAGACTAAAAGATCAAAAAGTTAAGAATGAAGACAAATGGTAAAATTGTTAAGTTGAAGAAACAGTATGAAAATAAAATGACAGAGAAGCTTGATTTACTGAAGATATTGCTATGGGTTGTATCACTGTGGAATGATCACATGAAAATATTTGGTGATGGAACAAAACTTGCTGTTACATGTAAGTATCAGAGAAAGCAGTTTTTTCAATTAGTAGAGAAAGGCAAGAAAGAATTAAGTTGGAATAATAGCAAAATATTTAAAAAACCAGGAATGTGATGAGGATTCGATTTGGAGGATTTCGTCTTTGGAGAGTTGTTGAAACAAATTTTATATAAAATGATCTCATGGACGTTGTGCAGATACCAGAACAGGAATGGTTTTGTGTACATGTGCTCTTGTGCAAAATGCACCATATGTGATGCAGGTAGCAGCATGAAAATATCTGGCCCAAGGGCAAGTATTATTAACGGTAAATTTTACAAATTGACATATTTCCGTTTCTAATGGTGAAATGTTATCGTAAAAGAGAAAGGACCTCGGAGTCAGACCTCCCTGGAGTTCTGGCTCCAATCCTTTCCACTTTTAAGAAAATGATATTGATTGTCTGGCTTCATTTTCTTTCCCATAAGAGGGGAGAACAGTATATATCCAGCAAGGGTTGTCTGAGAACCAAATGAGGTAGTGTGAAGACAGTATTTGGCGCATCGTCCAACACATGACAGGCTAATAAATGATTCCCCTTTTCGAATGTCAGGGGGGAATTGTTACAACCAGTAATACTGACCAATCAGACATTTTCCAAAGCATTCAGGTGCATTTCTAGCTGCTCAAATGAAGCATTATTTTGCTGTCCACTCAGTGATATATTGATAGAACATAAGTCAGTTTCAATAGGCAGCTTTGAAATTTCATATTTATAATTGAAAACATATTTAACAACTGGTATATGAAATTCATACTAAATTTCATTAATTTTAATAAAATATAAACAGGTCAGACATTTAACTCAAATATGTTATTTGAAGATGTGACTATAATGTACAGGTTATTTTATATTTTAAATCTTTTTTTTTCTATATATTTTGACCACAAAAACTAACAAATTTTAAAAATTATGTTTAAGGGGGAAAAATCTTGCAATATAAGTTTTAAAATACAAGCAGTAACAACTGTATAATAAATTATCTCTTTCGGAAAGTTATGAAAATTTAAAACTAATTTTGTCCTAAAAAGAATAAAATTTAAATAATATAGCTAAGGAAAAGAAAGTAAGAATAGTGAGTTATTTTTTTCCATTATAATTCATTTATTTATTGCCACATCATAATTACATCTGTTTGTGTCTATTGCAAGGACTAGTGATACAGCAAGGAACTGAGTAGACAGCAAAATCCCTACCCTTGTTTGCTGATGTTCTGCAGAGGAGAAGAATATTGTCAGACACAGATGTAAACTTTATAGTATCTAATATAACTAATAATTACTGGGAAAGGGAGATAAAGCAGAGTAAAGGGTAGGGAGAATCTAAAGAAAAGTACTTGCAATATAATTTTCTTTTTTTCACATAGAACTGTTATGTAGGCCAGAGGTGTGAGGGAATGAGAGGATTCACCAGAAACAGAGTGATGAGCAGAAAAAGGGGGATTTACTGAAAATTCTAAGGGAAGCAGCAGGCAAGACAGGAGACAGGTCTGCTGCACTATATTAGGGTTAACTCCCTGGTCAGGGATTGATTCAGGCCATAGAAGTAATGGCACTGAGACTTAACTCTTAGGTCACCAGAGAAGCATTGAAATAGTTATAATTTTCAATATGTAGGTCAATGAGTAACTCTCTTAAAGGAACAGAATAGTGTGCCATTATATGGAAACTTTTTAGATATATCAACTAACTTTCCACTTCACTAACATAATGATTAAATGTAGTCCAATGGAAAAAAAGGGGTTTAAGAATGAAATTAGATTATGTAATATAGTGGAGATAAAAATTTTGTAAATATTGTGCACAACTAAAACTATGCTTGTTTTAATAACATGTTTTTAAAATTAAAAAGACAGTACAAGTTTGGAGAAATACATACTGATTTACAGTTATAATCTGATTGTAAGCTACAATACTATTTTATTAAAAGCAGAATGTATGAAACTGATATAGGCACAATGTGAATTAGCAATATATGATTAAAAAGTCAATATTATTTGCTTACTGGTTTAGCATGCCTATCACAAGCATTGCTACACAGGTGAAATACTTGATATTTTTTTCCTTCTCAGTTTAAATGAGAAATCTAATATTTTTATGAACATTTGCTCCAATGAATTACCAAACTAACTCCAAACTAACCCAAAGAGAATACTACTAAAAAAATATGAGTTTCTACTGGAATTCAATTTACAAGTGTTATAACATTTATAATTCCATCATTTAATTCATAGTAAGTGTATAAACAAGTAATATTCTAGTATTCAAGTGAAAGGGTCTTTTAAAACCCCGTGTTTTGTGCTCTAGTCTGACACTATGTCTACCAATAACTCTGGAGCCATAACTTATAAGATTACATCAATTATATAGACACGTTACTCAATGTGTGGAAAAGGAAAGAGGAAATCGGGGCTTTCTGAGACAGCTCAGCAGCTGTCCATGAAAGGCAGATACAAACTAGGAAAAGATAGGATCAAAATAAGGGCTTGTGATTAACTTTCAAGTTGAATTATAAATAAAATATAATTTTGTTGAACATTTATTAAATTGAAAGAAAATCCTAATACATTACTTGATAAGATTAATATAAGAGCATTTCTGAAAATAATCAGTTAATTTTTTACAGAAATTTTAGTAATATAGCTATTTTGATTCTAAATTCTATGCATCAAAAATAATTTGGAGGTCCAGATTTAATATTATCCTATCAAAAATCCTAAATGCTGTAAAATATTAGAAATCAACTATGAGAGCTATCTTGATTCAAAGTGGGCATGGGATCCATGTTTCAAGCTGAGAGTTCAGATACATTGATTTGTCATTCATACATGGATAAGTAGATAAATATACTTGCAAGCATATTCCATTAAAACCAGGGACTGTGATATTTTGAAAAAATGTCAGTCTTTCACCTGATATTTATTTTCTATGGGAAATAAAGTAAATGTGGCACATGCAGAAAAGTTAGAGTACTATTCCACAGAGAATAGAAAATGAGAATCGATTATTTGTTCAAACTGCATAAGTTACAAAACTCATAGAATAGGAAAGAAAATTACTTTAGACATGATCAAATAATCTGTCTATAAAGGTATTATCAAAGCTATCTGATATCCTCTTCCATCTCTACTACCATCCAACTTCAAAACATGTTCTACTACAATAGAGATTTTTAAAAATAAATGTGTTGAAAGTTGGGAGCCTGATACGGAATACTTAAAAGACATATGTGATGTTAGCATGTGGAGAAAGAACAAAGGGCAGGTTTTAATCCAGGATCTGTAAATAGCTGTGACTTTGGGCTCAAGTCTCATAACCTCTTGAAAGTACAGCAATAAATACTTCACAAACTATTGTGGATAAATTACCACTTAAAGTCAACACTAATACAATGGCATCTCTCCTTCCTTTTACTCCATGCTGGGTTGTTCCAAAGAACACAGTATTTATCTCTCTAGTAGTTCTTTTTAATGCTATTCCACTTGCTCCACAGACAGAAGTCTTGAAGAAGATTATTCACCCAAGCCTACAATTTTTCTTCCTTCAATTGCTGAAATAAACCTACATAAGGCTGGAACATATCTTTGTCTTCTTGAGAAATTTTTCCCTGATGTTATTAAGATAGACTGGAAAGAAAAGAACGGTAATGCAATTTTGAAATCAGAGGAAGGAGATACCACCAAGATCTTTGACACATACATCACATACATGAAAATCAGCTGGCTGACAGTGCCTGAAACATCAAAGGATAAAGACCATGTTTGTGTTGTCAAACACGAGTTTAACAGAGGGATTGCTCAAGAGATTCTCTTTCCTTCAATAATGAAGGGTATGTATATATGTAAATATGTCATCCCAGAACCCTTTTTGTCTCCAAAGGGATGATACTATCTTGTCTGTCAAATATTAATGAAAACAAAAATTACACATTTTTCTAATATGTTAAGTTTAAAGTAGCATAAATGTGCTTCTATTTCCCAATAAAATTAAAATAGTATTGGCTTGAATATAAAAAAGAAAAAGACAAATTTACTTCTCTTTTCTCAGATTCAGTCATATTGTCCAAAAAATTAATATCACAGTAATGCTTCTTAGGATTTTCCTGTGGATTAAAACAGATATACATGAAAGCATTGTGCAATTAGCACATAATATCACAAAGAGATTCCAAGATGATTTGCTTGATGAAGAAATAAACAGTTATATGCCATTCAAGGATGTTCTATTTTGCAAGCAAAATCCCTCCTACATTAATCTTGCTATGCTCAAGCTTTAATCTATAAAAAATTAGTTATTAGACTATAGAATGTTAACCCAAGGGAGCCATTATGACTCAACAAATGTTGCATAATTTGGTTGCTGCAATTTTATTATGCTTTTGGGTTTTTATTTTG